TTATTGCACCGAGCTTTTTATTTTTAATCCCCGGTCCACCGTCCTTAAGGTTAGGTTATCGAGCTCCGGCATAAGCCAAGCGTTCATTATAATCGCATCAAGACGCAGAGAGGAGAACGAGAGGGAATAGGAGGAGCAAAGGAGAAAGGGCCACTGGCCACAAATTATTCCGTGTAATTCCTCCCCGGGGTACGTCGACCCTGTCGAAAATTTTACTCTGGTGCATCCGATTTTCTTTTTTGTATTTTTTTTCTTTTTTCAATTTTTTCCCCATCTCTTGAACCTTCTATCGACTATCGATTATTCTTCGATCGATCTCATCGATCTAAAGGAATCACCAAGTACGATTCCCAGGATTCGAAGAATTATCATTCGATTGTTGTTTGATTAAAGTCAAATATTTCTTCAAGCTTTTGTCATTTTAAATACGGTAAAAAGAAAAAAAAAAAAACGAAAGGGAAAGCCTTCTCTAGAAAACCGATACTATATGTATCGCATTATAATAACATCGAGGCACGTATTAATGAGTCTCGTTCTTGAGGGAACCCATACCGTAGTAAGAGAATTCTAACTTGTCGCGCAGATGGTTCGACGTTCTTCGGTCCAACCCTTTTACCACCGAAAATTCCTTCTGGTACTGACTCTCTGTGAACGAAGAAGAACGATGGGTTGGAAGCCTATTAATATTCCATAGACCGCGGAACCCCGTGAGAAAGACCTTCCATAGGGATTTTCCTTCATTCATTAGCATAAGGCGACGATACTGCAAATTCTCACGAATCCTTTCGAGCTCTTTATTGTCATCTTCGAACATTCGCTTTTAACAAACGAATCTTATCGGATTTTTATGTCGATAGGAAAACAGAACAAAAAAATTTATATATATATATATATATATATATATATATATACATATATGAAATGAGAATAGAAATAAAAGGAAAAAAGAAAAAATTAGATCGACTGTAGAAGAGAGAAAATTGCTATAAGAAGGTTAAAAGGTTACAGGTATAAAAGTTCTTCCAAATATGTATAAAAAAAAAAAAAAAAGAAAAAAAAAAAGAAAAAGAAAATAAAAACAGAAAGAGAGAGGAAAAAAGACGGAAAAAGACGTTAACACATTTAAAAGAAATTATTTTATGAAGATCGAAGGTAACGTTTTTGAAGTTAAAATCGGTTGCTTTCAACGCTCGCATAATTACGACTCGAACGAAGAATCATAGATCTTACCGTTTCGACGCTTGCTAAAGTTCGATAGCTTCCCTTCCCTTTCCTCGTCGTTTTCTTTTCTCTCTCTTTTTTCTTTTTTTTCGACCCTACGAGATTTTCATAAAATTCCCATAAATAAGACCGTACGGGTCGTCCTTATTTATATACAATATTTATACGTTACGCATGACCTGATGCAGAAACGGAATCGCGCGTATCCCTTCGCGTTTAAAACTTTAGCCTTGTGTATGTGAATGTGCCGGTGGGTACACGGATACCTAGAACAGACCTATGGGTCGCGTACAAGGAAAAAAAAAAAAAAAAAAAAGAGAGAAAATAGATAGGGAGACTGCGCTATGCGACACACCTGTGGATCATGCAATATCTTTTCTCTTCCTACCTTTACTGTTTCGTTCGAACGTCGATCTGTCAATGCGATTACTTATGCATGTATTCTTTCTCTCTCTCTCTCCTCTCTCTCTCTTTCTCTCTCTCTCTCTCTCTCTCTCTCTCTCTCTCTCTTTCTTTGAAGGTACAAAGTTAAACGTACAAAGTGAACGTCGATTTCATTCGAAGCCCGTTAGACATAACGGGGACGGAAAATGCTATGAACTACGAAAGTTCTTTTTACTTAGTTGACCGAGCACGAGCGCGAGTTATCATGCGCTTTGAGTCGGAACTGGTGAAAGGATGGAGAGTTCATTCGTCGCGTTAAGAGTGAAACGGTATCTTACCATTGTTTCGTTCAGAATCCAGAAAATTTGAAATCTCGATAAAAATCGCAAATATCGAGAACTGATTGGAAAAGGAGAAAAAAAAAAGAGAGAGAGAGAGAGAGAGAGAGAGAGAGAGGATAAAATAGACAGATGGAGGTGGAGAGAGAGAGAGAGAGAGAGGTCGATAAGAGGCGTAGCTCCTTCGTCGGGAAAACGAAGAGCAAATATTCAAGGCCTAATTTCATTACATCAAGGACCGATGGAAAAGCGAGTAAAATTCAGTAGAAAGCGCAGCGGCGGCGCGGAAAACTCTCTTCCGGTCGCTGGAGTTTCGCTTTAAGTCTCCACGGCATCCGTTCGACTGTTCGAAATGCGATGGGAAAGAGTACGACGAGCGGTCGTCTATCGTCGAAATTGCCAAGGCATACCAATCTCGATGCTCTCGTACGCTCCAGAGAAAATATAGTAGGTACATACGTATATATCGAAAGTAAGAAAGAGAGAGAAAGAGAGAGAGAAGGAGAGAGAGAGAGAAAGAGAAAGAGGTAGTGAGGGTGTGACCGAGCAAATTTTGT